GTGTGAATTCAATACATTTTATCAGATGTAAGATTTATTGGCACACAAAATCTACAGAAAAAGGCACGAAATACCATACGTTCACTACCGAATCTCCTGATATTCAAAAGCTGATCAGACTCTATAGAGTTTATAAATAAGGAGCATGGCTGAAACAACCTCCTGAAATGTACTGTGCTCTCTCATACATTCTGACAAGTTCTCTTGAACCAGATAACCGCCATCACCAGGACAGAGATTTAAACATGAAATAACATATGGAGAGACTGCACCGACTCTTTAGAAGAAATGTAATGGACTGGAATGTTTTCATGATGAACCAAACCTTACCGGTGTTCACCCACAGACAGACAGATGATAAAAAGGAGTCAATGGTTTACAAACACAAACATTACAACAAATGCATTGAAACATTAAACTCAACTGATTGTCTGAAAAGAGTGATATTACAGAAAATTTGCCTTTTATAGAAATCAAACAGTCTACAGTTACCTTTAAAAAAAAGGAAAAATAGCTCATTAACAGTATTTTTAAGAGGAAAACAAAATCCGGACAGCAAATGTTTGAATGTTTAAATCTTTAAAAACTGATTTGTAACGTGACAAAAAGCTACCATACTGTCGTGACAACACAGCAGTAAAAAAACGTTTGGACTTTACAGTTTATAACATTAGTTGATGTAGAACGCTGTAGACCAGATGTTAAAAGTCAAGAGTGAGTGATAATGAGGCAGAGAACTGACAGTGGCATTTTGTGACCAGTGTACAACTTCCCACTCAAAGACGTAAACACAAATGAAACCTTGTGGTGGATAAACAAACAACCCTTTGAACATACAGTGGTATTTGACTGAGCCTGATTAACAGTCCTGTAGATCAACAACCACTTTGATAAGTTGGGATATATTTTCAATATATATTTTACTGTTCATTTGAGCAATACACTTTTTGTGGTAGCTTAAGGAACATCCCTTGCTTATTTTCTGCTGAATTTCAATAACCTAAGAATCCAATCGACTTGACACATACTAAATTTAAGAGCCTTTATAGTCCAACATTACTTGTTCAAAATGCGGGTCACATCACAGTCAAAAGCGGACACCACATGTGGTCTAAGGGCCAAAAAGATCGACTATATTTAGGCCCAGTGATTAAATAATTTCACAAAGGTATCAGCAGGTACTGACAAATCAGCTTGGTTTTGAATTCTAACTGGCCAACAAAATATTAAAGCAACATTCTCCCTGGTTTAACAGATGTTTCTATCATCATTTTTAAGGAAAAAAAACAGAAATAAATAAAAGGACTAATTAAAATAGAGGGGGTCAATACGACAACTGACAAGTAAGCAACAAAAGAAATGGTTTTGGTCCAACAGTTTACAGTTACAGAGAAAAGGAATCCCACAGAAATGGTGACAACCAGTAAAATAGCACAAGAAAATGTGACTGTGCTCAAGACATGAACTTAACAGGTCAGTGACACGACATGGTTAAAGCCCACCCTTGTCTCTGCACTGTTTTTACCTTAGACGGTATAGTAGATGTTATCTAAGAAATGAATGTAGTTGCGTTGCTAGAAAAACAGCTCCAGCTGTACAGATAATTCTGGTCTAATTCTAGGGTTTCCCTTTAGTAAACAAAAGGGCTGCCTCCAGTTTCAGCCATGCTTGATTTTGCCACTCCTCATTTGGTCTACCTAACAAGTAGTAACTGTTATCAATTAGTCCTCAGAGAGAGGAACTATCACAACTAAGCGAGGTAGCTAGAGCAGCAGCAGAGGTACAAGAGGTGTTGATGGGACCAGGGGCAGAAAGGCCGGGACATAAGGCTAGCAGTTTGGTGCTGGTGTGGGGTTGTCACTGATGAAGGCAGTTTATGTATATGTAAACAATGAGAATAAAACATGGGAGGTCTCAAAGCAGATGAGGTCTACACAGAGTTTTGGCATGGGCTGGTTGAGTTGGGACAAAGCAGTGTGGGCTTGTGACGGAGAGAGTGTTGCTCCATATGTGGCTGTTCTGTGGTGCAGGGGAGGGGAGCTCCTTCAGGGAGTTTAACACTAAACATCTTCCGTATGTGGAGTGTTTGTGGAAAGACAAAAAAAGACGCTGTAAACACTTCGAACAGTGACATCCTTTTAGCTGAACAGGCTTGTGTGGCTCTGTCCAGCTCCAGCTTTAAGAACTAAGTCATCACAAAGGTATTCACACCTTTGACTGTGGGAGAAATATCTCAGGTTTATCCTTGTTGTGCGCAACGCATGCATGTCTTACACATGAGTATGTGCGAGTTTCTGCTAAATATGAGTGAGAGAAAGACAGCAAATACCTGTACGGATATGATTGTCAGTGCTATTAAGATGCAGTACTTTGGCTACAGAAGAGGTTGATGAAGGGGGATTTGCAAAGGGCCAGGGTTCCAAGGGTGTTAGTAATCATTTAATGGAGGCAGTGGCAGGAACTCAAGGAGAGGAGAGGTAATGTAGGGCATTGTCTTACCAGAAATGCTTTGGAGGGTTATCGATGCATAAAAGAAATGAAAATTAACCATAAATATTATTATCAAAATAACACAAAGAGAATATTTGGCTCTACACCAATGTAGAATTAAACCAATTAATTCATTTTAAAATATATAGTAGCTCAAGGACGTGTTCCTCTCCAAATTAGCAGAGAAGATTAGAAAGGCAGGTTCTGTCAGTGACATATTGCTGATACCTGGTGTTTCCCCCACAGAGGAGATAAAAAAATTAACAAAGTCTTATGAGCGGGGGATCCTGTTGGTTTCTACGAATCAGTTCCTCAGTAGGGAGAGGGTCTGATTGGGTTTCAAGCTAAAAATCTGTTCTCCTAATTGCAGGTAAGGTTTCTTCTCTACAGCCTGAATCAGTCAAGATAAAAACAATGGCACCAAAGAACCACATAGCCGGCTTTCATCAGGGTTTTTTCTTTTCTTTTGAAATTCAGTCATCCCTAGCTCTTGTCCCTCGAACTTCACCCTTTTTACGAAGCTGTAGAGATAAACAAAAAAAGAAAAGACACATTAGATTTTAGAAGTTAGGACAGCAGTACAATGTTTTGTTTGAATACTAAACCAAATGATGGAATTATAAATATGGTAAAATTAACAATATGCAAAAGAACAAGTCAAAATTTGCGTCATAAGGTTGGTGCATTGTAGTAATCACAGTGCATCTTAACAGTGGTCTGCAGAACCTGCAGAGAACCTGCCACAAATACTCAGGGAGAGAAAGTGAGAAAACGTACATCTCTGCATACTCATCTACCCGTGAGTGCGGGTAGATGAGTAGATAGAAGCATGATGTAATAGGGCTGGGTATCATCAGATGCCCTGCATTACTATATTATGACAATATTTTGTCAACGATAATGATAATATCACGATACAGGGATTCTGTAATAATTGATCTAATTGGATAATTGATCACTTGATAAAGTGGAGGCTTGAAAAATTGCAACAGGTTTTTGTGAGAGAATCTGTTTAAAATGAGTGTATGTTTAACATTTAAATATCAATACTGGCCACCAGTATATCAATAACATACTGCAAGACAAAATACTACAGTATATCAAAGTATTGATATTTAGCCAGACCTCTTTAAGACTGGGCAACAATAAGAATTTTTGTGATTAATTGCACTGTCAGCAAGTCCAATTATCAATTCAAAATTGTAAAGAGCAACCTTTTTTAAATGTACTGCCATATGAATGAAATAACATTGTTTAACATTTTTTAAGAGTAGCATTTAAGAGTAAATCTCAACTTAAGCAATGTCCGTCCATCCATCCATCCATTTTCATCCGCTTATCCGTTACCGGGTCGCGGGAGCAGCAGTCGCCACCCAAATCACATTGCACCGTACCAAACCTTCCTGCGGGTGGTGAGTCCACTGGAAGGTACCAACCGCCCTAACCGGGACTTGAACTTGCCCAGGAGGTGAACCCTGGGGTCTTAAGCAATGTAATCAAAGCAAATATAACTAGAGACTAGGGCTGTCAATCTTCCCACTTAAATACGATAAAATAAATAAATCAAACTATGTTCAAATTTTTAAAAGTTTTTCAAGCTCATTATATACCCCTATATAATAGTGCTGCTCGGATGCCGTGGGTTGCTGACCTCTGTGATAGGACAAACACCAACTACAAATGGATCAGTATAAACTCACACCGGCTCTAAACAATTGAAAGGTTCTTGCTGTGCGAGGTGTCTTCAGGCAAGGAGTGAAAGCAGCTGGTAGATGGTCGATTTGTTTTAATAACAAACGTCAAACACGTCCATCTCCCCTTTTAGAAACGGCATCACTTGCTTGTTTTCATACAGATAAAACTAGTTTCCTACAGAAAACAAGTGACCGATCCTCCACAAACAATAAATAGAAAATGGCGTATAGCTCAGCCAGCAGACTGAAGTCCCTTCCTGTTCTTTAGCAGATTCCGCTGTTATTGTGTGACTCCACTGACCTGCAGGTAACTGAAGGTTCAGACCATTCCACAGTTACCAGAAAGCATTCACTTTATCAGGTATGCAATTTGTGTAGGACAGCTAACGCTTTCAATCTTTCAAACATACAATCGTTCATCGAGGGATTTTTGATCTGACTGCATTAGTTTCAATCAACAAAACTAAAATATCTAAAAATATGCCTGGGTAAACTTTTCCAAATTTAGGATTTATTTTTTAAATAAACGGGACAAAACTGTTCTGTATTATTCCTAGTTAGTTCCATAGTTTTGAAGGAGGGTAGAGTTGAGGGACAATGAGTCTGGTCCCTAATGTGAGGTTCTTTTTTTCATATAGCATTTACTGTATGAGAATAAAAAAGGGAACAGCATTGATCCCATTCTCTGCCTGGCTCTGTTCCAAACCAGTGTGCTCTCAGTAAACAGGCAGAGTTTGCACCAAACAAGCTGATCTGTAGTTTCACAGCCCATCATCATCAGCAGAAAGTGTCACTTAAGGTGCAGTGTCAGCTTTTTCTTCCCTCAACTCTTCTCCCGTTTCTCTCAAATTCAACGAAAGCCCAAATCACTGACAAATATTTTATTTCTCTAGAAGATTGAATGTTTGCACATTATTTTGCTACTCTTCTACATCCTAACTCGACAGGCACATCAGTGACAAATCTGAATAGACAGATAGCATTTTTCTGTAGGAATGGAACAGGTCCGATTTATCGTAACAAAGGCGTATACCATCTTCAGCGAACCAAAGTTGAGGTCAAAAAGAGTCCACCTTAACAGGTAGGTTGGCTCCTGTTATCTCTCATGGTAGAAAGGTGTTCCTCTTAATAGGACTGACTAAAAAAACAAACAAAAAAGCTACAGTCAGTTGTAAGGTCTTTCTTACCTTGTAGACAGACACCCCCAACTGCTGCACCTGAATGGAAGGGTTAGGAGTACCACATTATAAGGGTTTTCCTCCAGAGCTTGAATGAGCCACAGGTTTGGGGGGGTTTAAGTCTGCAGTGAATTTAGATCCTTACAAATGATCTTTTGTAGAATATAAAAGATGCTTCAAATTTAACAAGATAAAAAACACAGAGTTCCTCAAATGCAGCTGTTCAGGGATTGTTTGTTGTTTTAAATTCTAAATGTATATGAGAATGTCTTGAGACACGAGCACTGTGTGAATTCAATACATTTTATCAGATGTAAGATTTATTGGCACACAAAATCTACAGAAAAAGGCACGAAATACCATACGTTCACTACCGAATCTCCTGATATTCAAAAGCTGATCAGACTCTATAGAGTTTATAAATAAGGAGCATGGCTGAAACAACCTCCTGAAATGTACTGTGCTCTTTCATACATTCTGACAAGTTATCTTGAACCAGATAACCGTCATCATCAGGACAGAGATTTAAACATGAAATAACATATGGAGAGACTGCACCGACTCTTTAGAAGAAATGTAATGGACTGGAATGTTTTCATGATGAACCAAACCTTACCGGTGTTCACCCACAGACAGACAGATGATAAAAAGGAGTCAATGGTTTACAAAGACAAACATTACAACAAATGCATTGAAACATTAAACTCAACTGATTGTCTGAAAAGAGTGATATTACAGAAAATTTGCCTTTTATAGAAATCAAACAGTCTACAGTTACTGATGACCAGAATAGATAACATTTAAAAAAAAAGGAAAAATAGCTCATTAACAGCCTACGGAAGCGGAGGGGGTGATTCTGTAGTTTCATAAGCCATTTGTTGCTGAGCGGGGGGTTATCGAAAGGGAAGTGGACGTAGCCATAAAGTCCAGTCAACCACAGGTGGTCATGTAGATCAAAAGAAATGGATGGCTCCAGGGTTCCCTGTGAGGAAGTAGGTTGGGAGTAGGTGTTTTTTTAGTAAGTTGGTGTGAAGATCTCCCATTGTTCCCAGAGAGTAGAGGTGTTTTTAGAGAATAGGTGTGAAGAGAGAAGAGAAGGATAATGAGGCAGAGAACTGACAGTGGCATTTTGTGACCAGTGTACAACTTCCCACTCAAAGACGTAAACACAAATGAAACCTTGTGGTGGACAAACAAAACGAGGTTGGGCCGTTTGTGGACAATGATATTATTGTTACTGTTTAAGACTGTGCCTACAGTCATCACTAGGTGGTGCTGCTGAATCGGAGGGTGTGATTCTGTAGTTTCATAAGCCATTTGTTGCTGAGCGGGGGGTTATCGAAAGGGAAGTGGACGTAGCCATAAAGTCCAGTCAACCACAGGTGGTCATGTAGATCAAAAGGAATGGATGGCTCCAGGGTTCCCTGTGAGGAAGTAGGTTGGGAGTAGAGGTGTTTTTTTAGTAAGTTGGTGTGAAGATCTCCCATTGTTCCCAGAGAGTAGAGGTGTTTTTAGAGAATAGGTGTGAAGAGAATTTGGGGAAATTCTCTTTGAATGTGTGGGGCTATGTGACCATGTGTGCTCAGGAAAGCCATCTGGTGTCTTATCAGCTTCCTGCTGCAGACCCAACCAAATGTGAAAACCACTGAAATCTAACACAATGGAACAAAGACCTCTGATGAAATGGCACACAAGGATCCATCCTCTTGCTTTCTCCAGCATTCACCCAAGTTATCTGTCCTTTCTTACTCAATCACAGCACAGACCCCATTTCTCAAGCCTGCAGAATTCCATTTGTATGTTGTAAATAGAATTTATAGTTAGTTGCCAAAGTGTGTTAAATCATAATCTGTTATCTAAAGTGTGCTAAATCAAAGTGTGTTAAATCATAGTCTGCTTGTCAGGAGTAGGTACTCCTAGAAATGTTTTACGATGTGGTCCACAAAGGATGAAGTCTGTTCCTCATCAAGTATGTGAATCGTGTGAACTTTGCCCAAAGAGTATATACGTAATGAAAAAAACAACTGCTCAGTACTTGTGAAACTTTCTCAATAAAAGGAGCTGCAGTCCTCATACACTTTAGGACTTAGGTGAGCCAACTCTGCGAAGCTGTTGGCCTCTCTGCTCCCCCTCGCAGCGAGTGAAACGACGTTGTCAGGTGTGGTTCTTTTCAGGTCATTCTATCTGTGGCAGTTAGATGACAATAGTGGTGGCTGAATAACGTAATTTCTGGCACAAACATATGTTAATGAGGGGGAAAAGGGGGGGGGGTGGTTTTAAATAATTTCCAGTCCATTAAAACATTCAAAACCCTCCCACCATTTCTTCTCTCATGTTCCCCCAGCACCAAACAGGGAACATTTCTCATTTTTTTGCTCTTGGATTAAGTCACCCCAACTATAACTGAATCATTCATTTTTTTACCTAATTTATTTTACACATACCATAAACCTATATCTTTGGGTTTATGGTATGCACCTGTACCTAAGAAGTTGAGTTAATTCAGAGTAAGCTATGGAGTTGCATGTGAACACACACGCGCGCACGCACACACACGCACACGCACACACACACACACACACACACACACACACACACACACACACACACACACACACACACACACGCACGCGCGCACACACAGAGACACACACACCCTTCTCTCCGTCCCGTCGGAGGTTCGTTGATACAGTAACTTGGAAGTGTTGCTAATAGGGAGTGAAGCGACTGTAGCCTCCTCGGTATATACTGGCCTGCAGCGAGGACAGCACCAGCCCCATGTCTTCAGCGTGACTCCGACTTTTGCCATCTGTCAACGGGGCAAAGGCATTCTGGAACAGACATGAACATGAATGGACGGAGACCACGCAACCGACAAACACACAGAAACACAAACACACACCAAGAAGAAGACGAAGAAGACGAAGAAGACGACGACGGAGAAGAAGAAGAAGAAGAAGAAG